GGGGACCCGACCACTTGCCTTGATGTTTCCTGGGCAAGCAAGTTGCTTGTTCTTGTAGTAACAGTCGATTATAGGGCAAATTTGATCAAATGATTAGTTAGTTCTGCTAGTTGGATCTTGGTTAATGCTTCATATTAGAGAAATCTAAAATGCAATTTTGTGCATTTTAATAAATTAATTAATAAATACATTAAGATCTTAAAAAGATACTCTAAAGTTTATTTCGTTGCTGAAAATCTTAAAATTTTCCTTTGTTTGCTTTGTAGTTACTATGTAGGGATGTGTGGTGATGGCGCAAATGATTGTGGTGTAAGTATAGTTTTGTGATTTTTTTATTTTTGACTAGTCTAAATCATGGTCATAAAGCATAACCAGTTTTCTCCTGAAATCATTAGGCTTTGAAGAGGGCACATGGAGGCATTTCCTTATCTGAGCTTGAGGCTTCAGTGGCATCTCCTTTTACCTCCAGAACGCCTAGTATTTCCTGTGTGCCAAACCTAATCAGGTAATACAACTGGATACTTTAATCATTATTACCTCTTTGTGTCCTGCTCTGGTTATATAGAGGGGAGGATTATTATAGAAAGTGATGTGAATTTTTTTTTAGTGGCATATTGGCATAGTTGATCTGGAATTTATAGTAATAGATTGATTGCTACTTTTCATGTCTTCCAGTTCTGCTTTGGCTATTATCTGTTGGTAGAAAAACACTTTGTCATAGCTGTTGAACGATAAGCCTCATCTCAGCATATGATTATGGTCTGAAGCAGGAGTTTAAATTGCTGCTATTCACATGCCAACATTGGCTTGTTTTCACAGGGAAGGCCGTGCTGCTTTAATGACTTCCTTCTGTGTATTTAAGTTTATGGCTTTGTACAGCATTATCCAGTACTTCAGTGTTACTCTGCTGTATTCTGTGAGTACTAACATTGTTTATGAAACATTTAATTTATTAAGTATATATATTTGGTTTTGAATGTATCCATTAATAATGGAATCTACATAAGTAGCCTCTGTTAAGTGTAACATTTCAAGTAGCAGATTGAACATATTTATCTGGAATAGAATTTTCCTTAAGGCTGGCACCTGTAGCTGAAGCCTGTTAAATAAAAATACTGTTTTATTTGTTGTCTTTAGTACATGTTAGAGATCATTTTCAGAACTCTTCAAAATGTCATGCTCTGACACCATTTAGAATTATAGTAGCCTTGACAGGAATAGGCCAGAGTGAGTAGAGATGCTTCAGCAGTAGTGTACAGGACAATTGTATTTTGAGAAAAAAAGAGTGCAGTAGTGTCCATTGGGACGCGATTGGATTTCATAGTTGAAGTGATCTCATGTTCATTTTTCTCTGAATGAACGTTCATGACTTCTCAAAGAGTTTTTGTGAAACTATCCCTTTTTTACCATTTGTAGAAAGTATCAGAAGGGATGGAGTTAGATTTTAAGGAAGCTTCAAGATAGCAATTTTCAAGAATGTTGAATATTGTGAGTAAAAGTGTGTTTTCTTTTTTGCCAAGAGAAGTTTTAATTAATGAATTTTAAGGGAGATGTCTTTTATACTAACATATTAAATGGAATGTTTGTAAATATATAACATCATATTTAACTAATTTCTATGGCAAAATTTTTTTTTTTTTTTTCAGCAGGTCCATTGTTACTTTGAAGTTTTTTATTACTGTGAAAAAACTAATGTCAGGGAAAATCGGGACCACGCTACAAAAATAGTCACTGAAAACTAATTGTGTTTTAAAATTACTTCTGTAGATCCTGAGTAACTTAGGAGACTTCCAGTTTCTCTTCATCGATCTGGCAATCATTTTGGTAGTGGTTTTTACAAGTGAGTATTTCTCTTGGTTCTTGATTTTAAATTAAGCATGTTAAGTTCTGAATCTGTGATCTCTTAAACATTATCAAATTTACATCAGTTATAGCACAACTGTTACCTCTCCAGGTTTCCTCGTAAATGAGTTCTGTATATTTGACTCCACTTGATTTATTGATCTTTTTTTGTTTGTTTTTTTCCCCCCTAAAATAGTTTGAGAGAAAGTTGGAGCCATTTCCCTTTGTCCTGAGTAATCTTGCTTCATTGTGGGCTCACTCTGAGACTTTATGGCAATAGTTTAGTTTAATGTTGACACATAGAGTGACATCGATGAACTAATAGGGGTTTGTCTGATGCATTCTCAATAGATTCAAGTTAGGAGTTTTTGGTCCAAATATCACAGAAATGGTATTGTGTTTTTCTAAATGCATCATCACATAAGAAGGCATAAGCTGTTAGCTAGCTCCATTATTATTTATTATTGGGTTGTTTTTTTTTTTTTTGCTAGCTCCATTATTGCTTGTATTGGCATAAAAATAAAGAAAAATAGTGACCCATGTTCAGTGTAACCCATTGAGTAAAATAAAAACTTATTAACCCATATGACAGAGAAAAGGAGAGGGAGGAAGAATGAATAATCGGGAGAGAAGGGAAAGTTCTTTCTTACACTTATTGCTGTTAAGGGCCGTGGAGTCAGTTCCGACCCGTAGAGCGAACCTTATTTGGTTTCTGAGTGGCTGGTGCATTTTGAATCGCCAACTTTTGCAGTTCAGCTCAACTGCACGATCCAGTGCACTATCCTGTAGCACCACACAGGGTGCTGATAGATCAATAATAAAAGGAATGATGACATTAGATCAGGATTTCTCAGTGGGTATTACTGATACTTTGGGCCGGATAATTCTTTGTGGGGGAGACCGGGGTACCTGCTCAATACATATGCTTACCTGCATCTATGATTTCTACCCACTAGATGCCAGTAGCATTCCCAAGTTGGGACAGACAAAATATCTACAGACTTTTTATCATAAATTCTGTGTAGGACTAACAGGCCTCAGTTGAGAATGACTGAGTGGATGCTAAAACTAGTGAGGAACAGGATAGTAACAATCTCAAAGTAGTTCTTTTACTTTACTGTTATTTATTTTTGGTGTGGCACTGTAGGATCTCTGGTAGCGTAGTGGTTACGATTCAGGCTGCTACTCTCAAGGTCAGCTACCAGTGGTTCCACAGGAGAAAGATGAGGCTTTCTGCTCCTGTAAAGATTTACAGCCTTGTAAACCTATGCAGGGTCGCTATGGGTCGTAATCAACTTGATGGCACTTAACAACAACAACAACTGTAGGATAGGCACTTGACTGGTAGCCACAAGGTTCAAACCCACCAGCTACTCATCGGAAACCCTATACAGAGTCACTGTGAGTTGGAACTGACTCTGTGGCACTTAATAGCAACAACAATTAATTACAAAGAGAAAGTAGAAACTTAATAGTGGAGAAGCTTGGTGTATACCACCTTAATAAGTCATGATCAAAGAAAGGCCCCCCCTTCCATTTAAAAACTGTTTTGTTGTGGTTCAGTGCTGTCGAGTTGGTTCCTACTCATAGCAACCCTGTATAGGGTTTTTGAGAAGCAACTGGTGGGTTTGAACCACCAGCCTTATGGTTACTGCTTATCCTACAGTGTCACACCAGGATTCCATTTGAAAAGTTAACTGGTGTTTATATTGCTTCAAACTTTGCTAATCTCTTCTAAAGAGGAAGGAAAATATGTATTTTAATGGTAGCGGAAATACCGTAACTGATTGGGTTTTACAAACAGATTAATTTTCTCACAGGCTAGGTAGTTGCCGTTGAGTCAGTTGCAGCTCATAATGGCCCTATGTACAACAGAATAAAATACTTTCCCTTCCTACGCCATCCTCACAGTTATGCTTGATCCCATGGTTGGCTGCCTCTATGTCAGTACATGTAGTTCAAGGTCTTGCTCTTTTTCACTGACCCTCCACTGTCCTTCACCTGGGAATGATCCCTCCTGACAACATGTCCAAAGAAAGAGAAATGAAGTCTGACCATCCTTGCTTCTAAGGAGCATTACGATGCACTAGGCGCTAATGACTAAAGACCAGAGGAGTTGTGGAATGACTTCAAGAACACCATACAGCAAGAAAGCAAAAGGTCATTAAAAAGATAGGAAAGGAGAGAAAAAGACCAAAAAATAGCAAATAAAAGAGCTGGACAGAAAATTTCAAGAACATTATGAGAAGACAAAGTCAAGTATTATAATGAAATGTGGAAAAACCTGGAGTTAGAAAACCAAAGAAAAGAATATACTCAGCATTTCTCAGACTGAAAGAACTGAAGAAAAATTCAAGTTTGCCTGCAATATTTAAGATTTCTGTGGGCAGAAGAGTTGTGGGAAGACATCAAGAACATCATATAGGAAGAAAGCAAAAAGTCATTAAGAAGACAAAAGGAAAAGGTCAAAATTGATGTTAGAAGAGACACTAAAACTTGCTGTCCAGCATAGAGATGCTAAAGCAAATGGAAGAAATGAGGTATAAGAGCGGAACAGAAAATTTCAGAGGTCAGCTCAAGAAGATAAAGTCAAGTATTACAACAAAATGTGCAAAGATCTGCAGTCAGAAAACCAAAAAGGAAGAACACGTTCCACATTTCTCAAGCTAGGAGAACTGAAGAAAAAATTCAAGCCTCAACCTTTGTTATTGAAGGATCCTCTTGGCAAATTATGATGCAGAAAGCATGAAAAGAAGATGGAAGGATACACAGAGTTACTGTACCAAAAGGA